ACTCCGAAGGCCACTGCGCTCTCTCGGTGCGATCTGGCAGGCCCAGAGGTTGGCACCAACACCAAGATTGGCGGCGTACCTCAACCGAGGAGAGATGATCCCGATCTCGGTGGTGGTGGTCATACTCTTGCTTCCTCGGCGGCCGAAATATTGCCACCAGCACCGACATCTATGATCCTCTTCCCCCCCGTGGGCGCGCCCCCCCCTGTTTTGGTGTTGGTGCCAAGTTCGAAGCCTCCAACGATTGCTCGCCGCGGGTGGCTCCGTGCTGGCACCTGGGCCCCAAAGCGGGGGCCCCGTGAGCGCCGACGGGGCGAGACAGAGGGCACGCCGTGCCTCTCGCAGAGAGGCACGGAGGTCAGGGCGCCGCCCGCCCTCGCGCGCAGAAGCCATCCCCGGACCACTCTTTAGAGGGCAGAAGATCCACCCCGATAATGCGGGACGACGATCAATGAAAAAAATGTGAAAGAACGATTAAAAAATAGTCCTCGGCTGTTTCTGCATAATTTTCTGGCTCGAGGAAAAAAGTGTTCCAGCCCGAGGCCGGTTTTTTCTAATCGTCATCCCAGGCGCCGCCGCGGGAACACGACCCCTGGTCATTTATTCATCGTCATCATCCATTAACCACCCCGACAAGCGAAGCCGTTTAGTAAACGCACCCAAAGCAGAAATCGAACAGGGCGGGGCTGTTTCATAAACGCCCAGGGTCGTTTAGTAAACGCCGATTGTCCGGTCTGGGTGGTTCTTCCTCCCTTGACTCCTGGACGCCCTCCTACCACATGTCGCGAGCCGCGTCCAGCCGTGGCCGCGAGGGTCCCTGCCTGCCCCCCCCCCAAAAAAAAAAACTCGGAAGACATTGAAACCCTGGGCAACCACATGTGAGCCTTGCGGCCGGGAGCTTTGGTTTAGCGTGTCGCGGCGGCGGCCCCAGCGACACGCTATCCACTGATACCTCCGCCCGGAGGGCGTGGCCGGCTCCACCGCTCGCCTTGCTGATTACTTCCGCCCAGAGGGCGGTGCAGCGCGAGCTTGGACGTCGGCCGTGCGATCGTCGTACATGTACCGCATGCTTCCCATCTCTGCTAGCGCAACGTCTGGTGCAAGGCTTCCGACTGGCTGACTCCGCTCCGCGGGGCGGGAGGCCAGCAAAGGCTCGGGGCATTGACACTCAGGGACTGGGACACTTGCCATTGCTCGGACGTCCACTCCCTGGGTTTTTTTGGTTTCGTGCGTGGTTTTTTCGCCAAATGATCAAGGATGCTCCTCGATGGTCCTCGCCGAAGGAAAAATGCACACGTCCGAGCGATGCCAAGGACATGAATAGCGTGTCACCGCAAAGCTCTTGGTGGTGACCAGAGCCAGGGGCGCGACACGCCAACCCAAAGCTCCCGGCCAGAATTTCACCTGCAGGTCCGATTTCTGAGCGCCGGCTGGGGTTCAGAATCCAGAGGATGCCTGCAGCCAACGCGGGTGTCAGGTACCCCAGCGTCGAGTGGGACGCAGAATGATGTACTAATATTCTGCGCCCCACTTGGAGGCGCACGTCCGAGACGATCATCTAGCACATGCGTGTTCTAAGATATCTTCACCCTGGCGGTATGGCCAAAAAACGCCCGCCACCATAATGTTTCTCAGCGCGCATGCGTCGCCCCTGGAAGGGGGGGGGGGGGGGGCGACGCACACAAAGTATGAGCACCCACTGGAGCCCTCGGTGGAGCTCCCTATGGGGCCACGAAGCGCTGCACTGGGTAGCACGGAACGCATGTGGTCACAACCAGTGGGGCCTTCGGTGGGCCTCCTTGTAGGGCCACGGAACGCCCTGCTGGGTGGCGCGGGATACATGTGGTCACAGCCGCTGGGGCCTTCTGTGGAGCTCCCTGTGGGGCCTTCGGTGGAACTCCCTATGGGTGCGCTGAAATGGTGGACATGCAGAGGGCAGAGGCAAGGGTGGGAGGACGAGGGGGAGGAGGAAGGAGGAGAGGAGAGGAGACGCGGGGCGCTCTCTCTTCAAAACGGGGACCCAACACCACAGGATGAGTGGGGAACCTCCCCCTCCACTTCCGAGCTGGCGGAGATGCCTGCTGGCGGAGGAGGAGGCAGGTCGCCCCCGCGGCGACGCGTGCGCGCGGGCGGTCCCTCGCCGTCGCCGAGTCGGGTGGCCAAGGTGGCCAAGCTGCAGGAGGAGGGCCAGCGGCCTGCGGCGGGCCCTGCTGAGAGAGGCGATGCGGGGGCCGCGTGTGGCGGCGGCGGCGGGCCGCTCCCGCGGCGCCGCGTGCGAGAGCGCAGCTGCTCGCCGAGCTTGGCCGCCAAGGTCGCCAGGCTGTTGCGAGCAGCGAGAGGTGAGGCCTGACTGGCAGACTCGGCGCGCGGAGCCGCGGCCGAGGCGTGGGCGCGCGCGGGGGCACGCGCGGGGGCGCTCGTGGCACGACACGAGCGCTCTACCCCGCGGGCATCCTCCTCCTCCTCCTCCTCCTCCTCCTCCCTCCTCCTCCTCCTCCTCCTCCTCCTCCTCCTCCTCCTCCTCCTCCCCCGTAGCCATTTTGGCTCAAGACCCATGAGTGGGCGGGCTGAGCCCGCATTGGCTTTCACGGATACCGCTAGTCCGCGGCTGTGCCAGGGCGCTTGCGCCCGACATCTGCTTTCGCCTGTACCGAGGGGTTGGGTTCCCTCCCAGAAGTGTGAGACGCGGGCGCCAGCATGGCGCCAGGGCCGCCGCCGTCCGCCCCTGCGGTGCTCCGCGGGCCGCGGCGGCCCACTTGGGCATGCGGGCGGTGCTCAGCCTCGGCGAACTGGGCATCGCGCATCCGCTGTCAGTGTGGGAATGAAGCGCCGTTACGTATCAAGAAGGCTGCTTGGACCGCTCACCAAGAGATCCTTGCCAAAGGTGGCCTCTCAGGTGGGAAAGGACAAGAAAGCGGCAAGCAGAAGGACGAAACGAGTAAGCGTCTGGAGGCCATCGAGAAGCTTCTGCTCGGCAAGGGCACTCCATCTACAAGTGCGGTGCCTCCGAAAGTCTGGCCAACGCCAGGCGAAGGGGTACCGCCTTGGAAGCAAGAACCTAAGGCAGATGGCAACAGCATGGACACGGAAGAAGATGATTATACCAAGCGTACGAGGTTATCGAGCCAGATTGCGCAATATGAGTCAATCATCAAGGCGCTTCCTGGCGATGAGAGTGACCAGATCAAGAAGGCTACGAAGGTCAAGTTGGCTGAGCTGCGTGAGCAGCACAAGGCATTGCGGACTCCTACGCAAGCCCACCGCCGTGCGCAGCAAGATCTGGAAAAAAAGCTAAGTTACACAGCGCGAAGCTGGAGAGTGAGATCAACGAGAAGGAGCAGCAGATCGCCAAGATGCAGGAAGCTTTGGAATCTCGTCGTGCGCAGCTCCAAGCTAAACGTGCTGAGGTTGTTACCCTGGAGGCGGAGTTCAAGCGAACGGCGGCATTGGTCGGTCATCCTGCCCCAGCAGACGACGACGCCAAAGCTGCCCCCAATTTCGACTTCGATGTCAAGGCCTCGGACGTCAGTGATGGCGATTTGCAGTCTTTCCTCGGGTCCGAGCTGTGGACTAAGCTGCAGTCGGTGCTCAAGAGCAAGTTCGCTGCTGCTTCCCCTCCAGCTCCTGCTCGCGATGATGGTGAGTCTAGTGCTGGGGGTGGGGATGAGTCTGGTCCCAGTGAAGCTCCCAAGCGCACCTTCGAGGACCTGTCCGACGAAGATAAGCAGTATATCTTCGACTCCGACACTTTCGAGGATTTCAGCACCAAGCTGGGAGAGTTTACCAAGCGACAACGACGAGGATAGCGCGTACGAGTTGATGTACAGGGCGATCTATGGTACCGATTCTGTCTCATTGTGCGCTGCGAGGAACGCAGAGCCTCTGCCTTCCTCGGAGCCCACCCTACCAAGGTCACAGATGTTTTCTGAAATGGTGGATCTCTCAGATGCAGTACTACAGCCTGTCTGCACGCATTGTGGCTCGCTAGGTTTCTGCGACTCGCCCGCAATGAGGGTAGCTGAGAGTAGAGGGTACCGACCATCCACGGATGGCACGCACTGCTCACTCTCTGGACCTCGCGGGTCAACTGCAGGGATCAGTGGCGGGTCGCAGTATCGACCTTCAGGCTTGGCAGATGGTTTTGTGGCTGTGAGAGTTTCTGGCGTACCTGTATCGATGACAGGAAAGACGAAGCCTATACTTACACCACCTTCGCAGAGCACCTACCTGTTTGAATCTTCCAATGCAAATGGTGGTCGCAATACGTTAAAAGATCGAGTGAAACGTTCATGTGCGCATGTTATCCTGGCTCAAGAGATAGGGTATGATGCATCCAATGTCGAGTCCTTGTACACGTGGGCGCACAATCGTGGATGGAAGTTAGTTGCAGTTCCTGGTGTAGCTACTGGAGGAAACCCTTCAGCTGGAGTAGCGGTGTTTGCACGTGCTGAGCTTGGGTTGCGTAAGCCCGAGCCTGGACAACATGTTCTGTACCCACATCGCTTGCAGCATGTGATGGTAGACCTCCCTGGATGGCCAGCTTATCATGTGTTGAATGGATATCTCAAGGACTCCATCGGTCCCACGGGCATCAACTCCACTATCTTGGCCAAGCTCGGGCAATGTTTCTCCGACTGTCGTGGCCCTTGTATTGCTGGATGTGATTGGAATATGTCTGTGGCAGAACTGGAGTCTACTGGATTCCCTCGAACGGCAAAGGTCACCATGGCAGTGCCAACTCAAGTTACTTGTCGAGCAGGAACGGGATCCACGACTATCGACTACTTCGCCCTAAACGATGTGGCGGTGCGAGGTTTCAGAGGTGTGCCAGCTGAAATGCGATGGGCTAAACGACCGCATCGACCTGTGCTGTTGAGTATCGTGGACAATGGATACAGTATTCGTCATTTCGTGTACACCGTGTCGCCATCACTGCCGTCGGCTCCAGTGATAGGACCTACTGCAGCCCCAGCTGACTGGAGTACTCACCGCGCCCTCGCTGAGGCGTGTCTGGCCATGGCGACGGACGAGACGCAGTCGGCCGAAGCTGTATGGGTTTTTCTATCACGTGTGTGGTCGAAGTTCGCAGTGACGGCAGCGAAGCAGGTGGCGATCAACACTGGCACGGAGTTGAAAGAGCCTGGAGTTTTCGGTCGCAACCTGTCTCCCAGGTCGGTTGATGCTACGTATGAGTTAGATGACGATACACACACGAAGTTGATCGCGGAAGGCTGGCAGTGGATGACAAACAGTCTTCAGGCGATATTGCAGCTCTATCGTGGGACCAGCAATCTAGATCAGTGTTCTATCGAGATTGACAGTTTTCTCACGGTGCAATATCATGGTCAAGGGCTGCATGCGCGCCTCGATTTCTCTGTTAGTCAAGCGCGCGATCTTGTCAGTGGCATCCCCATGGACACTGATGCGAGCTCCCAGTTCCTAGACGAGGTGAATGATGACTTGGAGGCAGCGGTATTAGGCATGAATAAGGAGTCTGCGCAGTTGTGGAGTGAGTGGTGTGCCGAGTCAGTTTCCCGTGGTGCGCGCGCCCTTCACAGACCCACGAAGGTCAAGGCCATACCGGAGCCAGCTCAGTGTTCAGGGCCAGTCGTCTCAGGCAGTCCAGTGGCGATCGTCGAGAAGGAAGTGGAGATGTACCAGAAGTTGTGGAAGGCAAGCGGACAAGTACCTTATGCTTGGGTGCCAGATCGGAGCACGTGCCCAGTGATGGAACCCGAAGCTATCAGATCGGTGGTGAGAACCTTCCCGACTGGAACGTCAGCTAGTTTCGATCATTTCCACCCACGGCACGCGCTCATGCTAGACGACAACGCTTTGGAAGTGCTTAGTGCGATTTTTCAATGTTCTGAGGCTATAGGGCTGCTCCCTAAGCAGTTATGTTGGATACAGATGCCGATGTTGGGAAAGCCGTCAGGAGGCAACCGTTTGATCATACTGTATGCTGGAGTGTACCGTATATGGCAGCGCGCTCGCAGATGGATGGTATCAGGCATCAGTCAGCAGCTTTCTCGTAGATATTGGGGTGCAGCGAAAGGACGTTCGGCACTTGACTGTGCTTGGTTGCAGGCGGCACGAGCTGAGAGCGATCATCACAGCAACCGTCATCACCTCATGTGGGTCATAGATTGGTCCAAGTACTACGAGTCCATACCGTTGGATCTGCTGCGAATGAAGTTTCTGAAAGTAGGAGTGCCTGTATGCTGGCTCAAGCTGGTGTATAACACGTGGAGGTCACCGCGTGTCATTCGCTTGGGCAGGCATCATTTTGTCACACCTTTATTTGCTGTGTGTGGCCTACCTGCGGGCGATGGCTACAATGATTTGGCGATCAAGGTGCACGCATATGAAGAGTTCGATGAGTACATATCCAGATGCCCTGCGATAGATTTTCTCCACTACATAGACGACACGGCTCTCAGCAATGGTGCCAAAGATGAGGAGATTGCAGTGAAGGTCTCTGTGCACGCTATGGTTGAGTTCCGACGTACTTCTGAGAAGCTCTCGGCTGGTTTTAATTATGAGAAGATAGGCTTGCTGGCGTCCACCCCGAAGCTCGGCCGCGCGGTGCTCGACGCGCTAGATATGCCGCACTCCATACTCAAGCAGAGCGTCTCCTACCTCGGCGTCGACGAGGCTGCAGGAGCCAGGCGTGGTGCAGTAGGGGTGAGAGCCAAGCAAGCCAGACGTTTTTCTGGAATGAGATTGCGTCTGAGGAAGGTCAAGTTTTACAAGAAACGGTTTAAGGGTCGGAAAGAGGCCCCAGTTTCCAAGATTTGCCGTGCTGGAGTTGCTCCAGCTAGCAGTTTTGGCGCCGAGGTTTCAGGCCTTAGTCAGGCCGAGTGGGGGTCCCACCAGCGAATGATGTGTAGTGCTGACGCCCCCTGTCACGGCGGGGTTTCGTTAACTGCGAAGCTGGTGCTTCTTGGGGACAAGAGCTCTCGTCTCGCGGTGGCCCCTGCGATCCATTGGTGTAGGATGATTTGGACAGCCTCCACTCAGCCCGAGCGAGCACTAGTCAGTAAGAGTGAGGTTCTTAGGCTCTGGGACTCGGCCCAGCCTCTGCAGGGTGGTCCCTGGAGCTCCTCTCGCGGCCCTATCCGTCGTGCGGTACTAGTGCTCCAGAGAGCTGGGTGGAAGGTGCTAGGACCTTTGGAGTGGAATGATCACAATGGTTTCACGGTGAAGATAGATCCGACCCCTCCTGCTCTGTTAGCCGGGATGCTAGAGATTAATATTCAGCGCCAGCATGAACTGACTCTAGCAGCTAAATTAGGCCACCCCCCTGGGCACAGGGCCACCTTGGATCTCGTGCGGGACCGCTTGGGGCCAAAAGCTAAGGGTTTGGGTAGGCACGCCAAGTTTTTAGTGAAATGCTGCGGGTGCAATGGAATGTGGACCAACGAGAGAGGCCGTTTGGCGGGTTACGCTACGGACGGGCGCTGCGAGTGCGGACAGGTCGACACACTCCACCACAGGCTCTACACGTGCATGCGTGAGGATGTCAAAGTAGCTCGAGACGAGTCGGGTGCCACGCCAGAACATGTTCAGGCAGCACTCGAAGATCCTGATCTCGAGATTTTTACCAGAGGGATGTTTGTGTATCCAGATAGTGAGTTGCCCAAACCGAGTACGTCGTCTGAGGTTGAGTTGTTTGATGTCTTGGGCAACCCACTAGACATGGATCCTGAGCAGATTGCAGACCTTTCAAGCGATCAGGTGCTCCGTCTTGTATCAGACGGATCTTGTTCCAAGCCTCCTATCCGTGTGCTCCAGCGAACAGCATGGGCCATCGGAGTGCTGCCCGACGTTGGAGCGGCACCTGAGCCAGTTGCTGTTTTACGTGGCGTAGTCCACGGCACTTTTCCGCAGACACCTGCATTGGCTGAGCACGTTGCGATTGCTTTGTGCGGCCAGGTGGCGAACAGACCCGCGGTGCTCGGCGCGGATTGCATGTCGGCAATAAAAGTGACACAGCGCAACATTGCTCACCAGTTGGCTGCCTCATCGAAGTTCGCTGGCATTCGTCTGTTCGCTCAGAGCCTCGAGGGGCAGCAGTGGCTCCAGGAGGTTCGACATGTGAAAGCGCACCGCACACAGGCTGTCATAGATGCGCTGCCAGACGGCGAGAGGGAGTTTGCTGTTGGCAATTCGGTGGTGGATCATCATGCCAAGAAAGCTCTGTTACAACATGTCGGTGCAGACCCAGAGTTTCTTGCTTCTGTCAACATTGCCCTCGAGAGGGCGAACAATTTCGTCAAGATTGCCACTGCCGTGCTACCTCTATATAAGAACGATCTCAGGTGGCCCCGTCCTCCCCGCGCCCCGAGGCGCGCGCAAAACAGGCTCCGTGTCGGCTGGCACGACTGGCAGGACGGGGCCGCGGGATTTCAGTGCAGCCGTTGTCTGAGACTAGGCGGGAACGCTCGATCGCAGCTTGATCTCACTGGTTGTACTGGTGTACCCCCTCTCATAGACAAGCTGCTCAAGGATCCCCAGGGACACCTTGTCGTCGCGGCTGGGCTGGCTCGAAATCCTGCCTCGGTCGATGTCGTGTGTGCGATCCCTGAGAAGCAAAGCTATGTGTGTTTAAAGTGTGGAGGGTGGTCCCAGGGCCGTGCTTTAAAGTTGGCTGGTCCCTGTTTGCCCCCCACCAAGAAGGGTCAGGAAGTTATAAACCGCTTCTTCCAGGGTAAATCTCCTAATCGCAAGTGTGCGGAGTTCCTGGGTCGTACTGTTCCCCTTGCTCGGCTGGCCCCCAAGAGGCCGTCGGAGAGAGTCCCCAGGAGTCCCGCGGTGTCTGACTTTACGGTGGTTTCTATTCCTTCGGCATCAGGGGCCGCCTTTCCCTATGAGGTGCGTATGGCAGCTCTTGTGGAGAGAATTCGTGACAAGGAAGCTGCCTCGCCGAGAGGCTAGTACTCTGAGCTGAGCTCAGTATTTAGTGCTGTGCACTTTCCCCGCCAGGGCATTTCATTCATTCATTCATTCCTCCTCCTCCTCCTCCTCCTCCTCCTCCTCCTCCTCTTCCTCCTCTTCCCTGACTGCCCGTTGCGCACAGGGTTGGTGGCACCAGCCGCAAGGCCTCCTCAATAAGAAAAGGCGCCATGAAACCTGCAGAGATATCATGGCCCTGGCCATGATATCTACCAGCCCCTCGTCATCACCCTCCGTTGGGTGTTGCCAAAAGTGCCCCTGGCCCAAGGTGCCCCCAGGATTTCCAAGGAGGCCCCGACGGCCTCCAGAGCACCCCTCACGAGGCCAAGAGCAAGAGGGCCCCCGGGGCTGCAAAACTGAGGGAAAAGCGAGGGCACCTTCGGCCAGGGACACCTGTAACACTCCCCAATTCTAGCCAGCCTCCAGACAGAGAGCACAAAAAACACACTGACCAGCTCAAGACGCCGGATGCGCCTTCGGTGGAGCTCCCTATTGGGCCACGAAGCGGGTGAGGGGTGTGCCGAAGGGGCGGGGAGCCGCGCGTGGACCCTGCCACTGGGGCCTCCAGTGGAGCTCCCCACGGGACCACGGAGCGTGTGCGGGGTGTGCTGGCATGGACATGCGGTGGGCGGGGAGCCGCGTGTGGACCCTGCCACTGGGGCCTTCGCTGGAGCTCTCCACGGGGCCACGGAGCGTGAGCGGGGTGTGCCGACGCGGACATGCGTAGACGAAGGAAAGACCGCCACAAACATAAACTTTTGGCGCTCGGCGCGGATTTCTTGGCTCTGCGCTGGACCCCCTCCCTGGCGCGAGGACCCAGCGCAGACCCCGCGCAGACCCAAGAGATCCGCGCGGAGCGCCAAAAGCTTGCGTTTATAGCGCTCCTGCGCCCTCGAATGCGGTGCTGTCGGGGGGAGGGCCTTCGCGGGCGGCCGAGGCCGCTGCCCCCGCGGCCGGGCGGCGGCGCCCCCCCCCCCCCCGCCGCGCATCCCCCGGCAGCGGCGGCGCTGGCCGCGGCGGGGCGCGGCGCCGAGGCCTCGCGCTCGGCCGAGGTCCGCAACGCGAGGGCCTCCACTGCCCCGCCCTGGGGCACACTCGAAGCTGGTGGCACAGGAGAAGGGAAACGCTATAAGCATAAGCTCCTCCTCCTCCTCCTCCTCCTCCTCCTCCTCCTCCTCCTCCTCCTCTCCTCCTCCTCCTCCTCCTCCCCTCTCCTCTCCTCCTCCTCCTCCTCCTCCTCCTCCTCCTCCTCCTCCTCCTCCTCCTCCTCCTCCTCCTCCTCCTCCTCCTCGGTTCTCGAAGAGAAAAAACGCCATAGACAGAGACTGTTGGCGCTCCGCGCGGATTTCTTGGGTCGGCGCTGGACCCCCAAGCGCGGAGCGCGCCAGGGGCGGCGCCGGAGGCGCCGCCGGGGGGGCCAGCGCGGAACCAGGAAATCCGCGCGCAGCGCTAAAAGTTTATCTCTATGGCGTTTTTCCTTCCTCGATGGCAAGGCTGCACGATGAGGACGCGAGCGCCTCGGATCGGCGGCGAGCGAGGGGGGGGAAGTGAGAAGAGGGCCTTCTCAGAAGGCGGCGGGGCTTCTGAGAACCCATCGCTGCGGCCGAGCGGCTTCCTGTGTCATCGGGGGAAAGGCTTGGAGGACTTCTCGGAAGGCCGGACTTCTGAGTCTCCTGGGAAGGCCCGCCCCTTCTCACCTGCCCCCCGGGCTCGCCGCCGATTGGAAGGCCATGCCGACACTTTCCGAGCGGGGCAGGGCCAACAGAAGTGGCCAAGGATGGGCCGAAGGAAAAACGCGCAAAAGAAACCTTGGAAAGTCGCTCATCCTTACTATCACCACCGACCAGGTTCGTACCGTGGACCGCCAGTACGCCTGGCGGCGTCACCACAGAGCCACATCCGTGGCGGGGGGATCTGGGGAAACTACGAGGTACCGATACCGCTACTCCTGGACCTCTCACGGGGCACGTTCTGACCAGAATCTCGAGGCGAATCCAGCGGTGGCGACGAGGGCCTCCCAGGAGGCCAAAGAAAAGGGAAGCGACTCTGCGGGACCGGTTTTTCGTCCTGAGTCGTTGTTGACGGTCCCTGGTAAGGGCCCCCAGAGGCCGAAAATCACGGAAAGCCTCCCGTCGTGATCTTTTCGCAGCTCGTCGCGAACAAATAGGACGAGACGTGCTCCACACAAACGTACGTGGTGACGACCTGGGCGTTGGTTCCTGACACCGAGGGGATCGTTCAACCTTGAACGATCGGCGGCTTCCGAAACGTCGGATCGTTCAACACCAACCGATTTTGGGACGCCGGCGGCGTTCAACGTGGAACGCCGGCGGCGGGGTCGCCGTCAGTCGACACGATGCGAACCTACGGTACACATTGACGGATCTGCAGCACTCTTGAACGCTTCGGCGAACAACGTAACCACGTGGGCAACACTCAAAACCCCTCACGCACGCACGCACTCTAGACCGCAAAAGGAATGGCAACGACGAGCGCACCCCAAAGAGATGCGAGGTCTCGTCTGGCTCCACGTGCACACCCGCTCCACTGCACCTTCCAGGGGCCCACGCAAGTGACGACAATTGCGCGATTAGCGGCCTCCCAGGGGAGCCGCGAGGTATCGTCTGCATCCGCGTACACCTCTATTCGGCTGGACCTCCCAGGAGTCCACGAACGTGGCGACAGCAGCTTAGTTGGCAGACTCCCAATGGAACCGCGAGGTCTCGTCTGGATCCTAGATAAGCGTACACATCCGCTGCGCTGGACCTCCCAGGGGACCACGAAAGTGGCGACAATTGCGCAATTGGCAGTCCCCCATTGGAGCCGCGGGGTCCCGCCTGGATCTGGGTACACCTCCGCTCCCCTGAGTCCACGAGGTTGGCGACAATTGCGCAGTAGGCAACCCCCTGAGGGAGCCGCGAAGTATCGCCTGGATCAGCGTACAAATCCGCTCCGCTAGACAACCCAGGGGCCAGCGAAAATGGCGACACTTGCGCAGTTGGCAACTCCGTAGGGGAGCCGCTTAGAAAGTAGAGAACATGCAGGCACGAGACAGAAGGCAAGATGAAAGGCGAGAAGGCATGAGGAGACGCGCGAGCGGTGCCCCACTCAAAACGAGGACCCCACGAAGGGTGAGCGGGACGGACGCGAGGGCAGAGGCGCTGGGTAGGAACGAACGTTGATGAGGGGGCAGAGGGAAGGCGGATGCGATGGAGCTCCACCGCAATCTTTCTGAGCCTTGAGCTGCAATGCCTCGCAAGACCCCCTCGAAGATCTACTGACCCGGGTCAGGCGTTGCAAGAGCCTGCTGGATCCTGCACCCGAATCCGGGTCAATGCGACCCTGGCTCTGCAGGATCCTGCAAGACCTGGCGCTCTGGCTCACCCCCATTTTGCATTGACCCCCGTCTCAAGGCTCCCGACCCCCCCGCAAGCCGTCACGCCCAGCTTCGGGTCCGCGCCGAAACCGATCGCGTCGCAGAGTGCGCCCAGCGTGGTCGGGTAAGCGTCCACCAGCACCTTCCGGAACATCTGGGCGCTGGGCGC